CTCTTTTAGGGGGGACACACTGCTCTAGAACTGCCGTCAGCTCAGCTTCTTCCCAGGTGAGCGCAGGCCTTCCTGAGGGCCATGTAGCCATGGCGATAGCCCAGTGCTGGCTCCCAGACCAAGAGCTGGGGGGCTGGGGGAAGTGGTGTTGCTGCTGGCAGGCCAGGGGACACCATGCTACCTAGGGCCTGGCCATCATGATCCCCATGTCACTGAGCCCATGCCCAAGGCCCTCTGCAGCCAAGAAAGAAGAGGGGTGGGTGGTGCCAAGGGAGAGCGTATACCGCCTGAAGCTGTGGGTTCTAAGTCTCTTGGGGCCCACAAACACACACAGGCTCACTTCATGGGCTTTAAGGGGTTTTTTTTGTTTGTTTTTTGTTTTTTTTAAACAGTCTGGTCCCTGATGGGGGCCTCTCCGCTGCCCCTCCCCAGTTTCGCTACAGTTCTGAACGTCGCTCAATTTTGAGCAGCTCCACCTCAAACACGAGGGTTGCACCACCTGCAGGGGAAAAGAGGGGACAGAATGAGAACCAGGACCACAGGGAGATGAGATGAGTGCAGGACCTGGGGGGGCGGGCAGGAAGGTATATTACCTGGAATCTTTGGGGGAGCTCCCCGCTCTCCGTACCCTGTCAAAAGATGCACAAAGAAATAGTGAACTATAGCCAGGCAAAGGGAGAGTGTGCTGCAGACATCCAGGCTGCCCATCTCAACAAGAAAGCCGGAAATGAAGAAGGTGTAATGGAGACGGGAAGGGCCTACAAAAGGTCCGGCAGAGGGCAGAGGGTGGGCACCAGAATCAAGTGTCCCAGGGGTCTTGCCCTGTTCTCACTGCTGGACTTAGCTAGACTTGCAAGAGGCATGTGCTATATAATGAATGGACGGGGTAGAGACCAATGCAGAGGCTGAACCAGCCTTCACCCTTCCCCAGACACACACCCAAACTCCCCTCTCCAGGCTTAGGAAGGGCCTCTTACCCAACTCTGATGGGATCACCAGCTTCCGTTTTTCTCCTTCACACATCCTGCAGGACAACACATGTTCAGCACATGGCAAGCACCCAGGCTCCCTGCCCCCCACCCCATCCCTGGGGCTTGCCTCCCACAATCCACCTCCTCAACCACAGCCATGGCCCCCTGACTCACCCCAGCAGCCCCTGGTCCCAGCCCTTGATGACCTGGCCTGTGCCCAGGGAGAAGACAAAGGGCTGGTTCTGGGGCAGGCTGCTGTCAAATTCCGTCCCATCTTCCAGCTTCCCCTGTGGGACCATGGGAAGGCCAGTGAAGAGGAGGGTCCACTCTGACACACCTCCCCACCCAGCTGCTCTCCCCAAGCTGGCTCCCCATTGGCAGCCATAGCCCTAGAACGGGACAGAGCCTTGGGCACCTCATAGGACATTGTCACTGCTTGCTGGTGCCAACCTGGGGATCAGGCAGTGAACAGCAGGATAGAACTATGGAAACTAGTATAAAAGGGAGAGGGGACTTGCCCAAGGTCACCCACCTTGTAGGCTGAGGGATCGCACTTCCAAGTCCTCTCAGGTCCCCAGAAGCTCCACCCACCCCAAATGCTCCATTCCCTCACCCACCGTGTAGTGCATGTGCAGGACGTCTCCCTTGCGCGATTTGATGGGGCAGTGGTCTACCCGCTTCTTGACCCCGATCTGCAGCTTCCGTTTGCCCTCGGCCCCCGCAGCAGTGGCCAGGGCGCTCAGGCAGATGGACAGTACTGTCAGGACCCAGCTCAGCCTCATGTCTCTGCGGGGACAGACCCCAACCGACGGGGGGGGGGGGGGGTAGGGGGGTAGGGTGGGGAAGGCATGGAATAGGGGCAGGTACCAGGAGAATTCCACCCCCACCGTACCTTGCCTGCCCCTAGGGATCCCCTTGTCCCGGGTCACCGCCCCCTCCCCCGGGCTCCGCGGCCACACTTACCAGTCCAGTGAGAAGGGGGCTTGCCCGAGGACCCCAGCAGCGGGGGGAGGGGATCAGGGGAGGCCACAGCAGCCAGGGCCCCGCCCCTTTGCTCACCCCCTGCCCTTCCTTCCCTCCCGGTCCCCAGCTCCAGTCTTCAATTCCCACCCGTCCCTTTACGCAAAGTCCAGACCCTATCTGGTTGCCCAGCAGTTGCCTCGACCGGGCGACCCCATTCACGCCACACCCAGTTGCCCCCCGCCCAGCACACCCACACTTCTGCGGCCGCTGCAGGGGGCCTGCCCCGAGGGACCCATACATCGCCGCTGGGTGGCTCCGGGGAACCCCGATCCTCCGGAGGCACTCCCCAGGCCGGGCCTGTGCCTCCGCCCGGGGCGCCGCCCCAGCTCTGAGCCCTCGGGGGCCTGCGGGGTACCCAGACTGGCCCCGTGTCGGGTGGCCGCCGAGCCCGCTCCACCCATACCACCTCTCCTGGGGGAGTTCTCGGCCTACGGCGTCCCCAGGCCCGGCCCCCGCGGAGACCGCCCCCGCGTGGACGCCCCGGGCCATTACCTGGGCCTACCCCTTCGCTTGACTCCTTGACCCCACCCTTTAGAGGACGTAGTTCCGCCCCCTGCTCTGGAGCCCCGCCCTCGACAGAACCAGACCCCTCTTCCTTAACGGTAGCCACGCCACTCACCGGCTGAAGGCCCGCCCCCAGCGCCTGGGCTCCGTCCCCTGCGGTCTCCAAACCCGAGGCTCCGCCTTCCGCCTGTTCCAGCTCCTCCTCCAAGGACCAGGCTCCGCCCCCTACCTGTCCTGGCTCCGCCCCCAGCCCCGGAGCTCCGCCTTCTACTGGAACCAGCTCAGAGGTTCCACCCGTCTCCGTACCACGTCCCGCCCCGACTCCCAGGGCTCCGCCCCGTGCGGCGTGAGAACCCACCCCCTGCGGCATCCCCAGACAGCTCCGACCCCAACCCCAAATTTCCTCTCAACCTATCCCTCGTTGACACTCGGAGCCCCGGCCCGCTCCTGCCCGGCCTGATCCAGCCTGCCCCCTTGGACCCCGGCTCCCCCCAGCCCGGGCTGTGGCCCCCGCTCACCTCCTCGCCGCGCCCCCGGAGTCAACCTCAGTCGCGCTGCCGCCTCTGCGCAGGCGCGTCATCGTCGCTACCAGGCCGGGCCACGCCGCCCGCCCTCATTGGACTGTGCGAAACCCGCTGCCACACGCCCGCTGGGGCGGCCTTTCCCCCAGCTCCGCCCCCGCGCCACCACGTGACGACGCGCTTCTTCCGGTTGCTGGGTAATCGGTAAGGTTAGGTGAAAGTGACTTCCTAAAGTGCCTTGGGCACTTCCGGTCGAGGTGAAATTAAGGTCAGGCGGACAGGGGTTCCCGGAGGGGGTCTTGAGACGCCATTTTATTTCATCCCCAGGCTCTCCCACAGCGTTCCCGTTTGTCCCTGGGCCTCTTCGGGATCCACAGTCTCGTTAGTTGCAGTGGAGAGAGCCTGGGCTTCAGAGTTGCGTTTGAATTTGGGGTCTGCCGTTCATTGACTGGCAATGTGACCTTGAGCAAGTTCCTGAGCCTGGCAGGCTCTGGAGTCCCTGTACCGCGGGCTTGGCAACACCCACCTGGCAGGGCCACTGTGGGATTGCGGCCATGAGGTGGTCCACCAGGCCCTGGCCCAGAACTAATGCTCTCCCTTTGCTCCACGCCGGCGTCCAGGCCTGCCTCTACCTGCCGCACACTGACCACTGAGTCATGACGGCAGTGGTCTGGCTGGGCCGGTTCCCCCAACCAGACTGGTATTTTCAGGTGCCCCAGGACCCAGCAGTGCACAGTCAACGTCTCTCAACTGAAGTAATGAACTTGTAGTTGGGAGGCCACGAAACCTAAATTGAGTGTTACAGCCAACTGGGGGTCACATCCCCGGGTCCATCAGCCTTTCTGAGCCAGTTTCCTCAATTGGAAAAGGAAAATAATCACCAGTGCTGACCTTAGAATTGAGGACTAAGCGAGGGGGTGCATATAAAGCCCCGTGAGTGTCCAGCACCGAGTGGGCTGGGGAGGGGGCAGCTCTAGGGTCCCCAGCCCTCATCTGTCTCACTTCGGTTGAGCTATGGCATTTTCAGTGACAGCATAGCTGAGAAAAATGATTTGAAATCGGTAATCACAGGAATTGTCTCTTCTGGTTTAATCCCACTCCTGCCTTGGGCCCAACAAGCTCACTGCCGTGCCCTCCAATCTCCCACCTCAGAGGCCTCCATTAGGGTAGCCACTTTGGGTTAACCTCTGCCCCTGAATGTCCTGTCTCAGCAAGGTAAGCATTGGGTACCCAAGGTTGGCCTTTGGTCTGCCCCTCACTCCCCCGCCCTGCCCCCACCAGGACACTGGAGGCTGCAGGCAGAAGGCTGGGCGCGGAGCTTGGGCTGGGTCAGACAAAAGTCAGGGGAGTCCCAAGCAGGGAATGGTGAGGGGAGCCCAAGGTGAAGGGAGGTGAAGGTGGAGAAAACTGTGTGCTTGGGGGTGAGGGGACCTATCTCCCAAACCAAGCCCACCAGCCTTTGGTCCTTCCCTTTCAGGGAGGCGGGGATAGGGCAGGGGCATGCATTTAGAGTTTAGCTAGAGGAAGTAGCTTACACATAGAGTGCTGCCCACCAGAGAAGATGGGTTTTTCTATCAAGTGAAGATATACTGACTTTCCTGGAGCCCAAGGGCCGGGGCCATAGCACTCATCCATTCCCTCCGTGTACACATGCGGAAGCTGAGGCTCAGAGAGGGGGCAGTGACAACCAAGATCATTCAGCAGATCTGGGTCCCACTTCAAGCTCACTGGCCACAGCAGGCCATCTCCTTCCAGAAAGGAGCCTTTGTGATGAGCAGGGGGGACAGAGCCTGGATGTGACAACAGGACTGTTAAGAATACACAGTTCCGGCTCTGTCCGTGACCTGGTGGGGGACCTTGGGCCTCGTTTCCTCCACAGGCACAATGAGGGAGTAAGACCAGCTCTGGCTCGAGGAGGCAGTGTGACGCAGAATGCCTGAATCCCCCAGCCAGGACAGTGACAAACAGTGACACAGGCAGGGACAGCTCCTTCCATCTCTTTTATCAGGGTCGGGGGTTCACAGTTCTCACACCGAAGCCCAACTCCCAGTATGTGCGGAGGATCGGTGTCTTCTTAGGGAGGCGACAGAGAAGCCAGCTGTAAGACGCTCCCTTGTACATGGTGGGTGAAAACGGAGATGGGACCCCTTCTCTCCCGGGTTAGTCCGCGACCCCTGGGGCTGCCTAACATCTCTTTGTCCAGCTGCCCACCCTGTTGGATGGCAGCCTTGGAGAGACCCGGGACATCTGGGAAGTCCTCTGAGAGGCCCAGGTCCTGGAGCAGCTTCTGCCCACGCGGAGATCTTGGGACTGGGCTCTTCTCAACATGTTGCCCTCTTGTCCCCCTCGGGCGTGGGGGGGGGGAGCAGCCTGTGAGGCAAGTGGCTCTGCTGAGTCTGAAAAGCAACGTGTCACCTTCGCAGCTTCCGGCACCTGAGGAAGGGAGGAAGGGGTCTGGTCATGTGGGCACGGCTCAGCCCCTGCTCCTCTAGATTCACCCCTTTGTTACCTTCTGTGAACCCCATTCTCTCCTACCACTCCTGGCGAGCCCCAACTGGCCTGGCCCACATGATGCCACCCCATGGCCTCGCTGTGGGAGGGAGGAGGGGCGAGAAGCACCTTGGACAAGGGTGGACAAAGATTCCATGGTGTCCCTCGGCCTCTCACAGAGCCCCCAAGGTGGGACAAATGTCTCCCACAGGAGCTTTTAGGAAGGCCCAGAGCTTCACAAACTAGAGAGCCGTCTCTCTCATCTTGACTGCAGGCAGATGTTACCTTTCGGGCCTCTGTGACCTCTCAGTCGGGTGCCCCTGACCTCAGCCCTTGACCTCCTCTGCAGGCATCACGTATCCTCAAGCCCGACTCCCACATGAGAATGTGAACCCTGTTTACACTGATCCCGGTGGCTGCCTGGTAAATATTTGTTCGGCACATTCGGCAGCTTCCCCTTCCCTGGCAGGCTCACCCCGAACCCGCTCCCGGAGCCCCGAGGCCTTCCCAAACAGATGCCGCCAGCCCGCAGCTCCTCACCGGCAGGTGTCTGGGTTGAGCTCTAGGCCCCGCCCTTGGCAACGGAGGAAGCTGCGGCGTCGGCAGCGACAGCGACAGGTCCTGGGGTCAGGGCGCTGGTGGCGCTGGGTGCAGCGTGGGCAGAGGGGCCTGGGGCTGGAGTGGGATGGGTGATGTCAGCTGGGGAGGGTGCTCCGGGGGCAGGGTCCCAGCCCGGAACGGAGCGGGGCTGGGGGCGGTGGTGGGGAGTGGAAGCCCTAGGAGGAGAAGCAACATGTCTGGGGCGGGAAAGAGAAGTCTTCCCAGGAGCTGGGCTTGGGCCAGAGCGCAGACTCGGGGAGCAGAGGAAAAGGGGACAGGGGGACACAGTGGGAGGAGAAAGCGGGGACGGGGCTGCAGCTTCCTGACACACTCACACCCCCACCCCCTCCGCCCCATCCGCACGTTACATCCTGGCTGCTGGGCCTGGGCTCCAACCCCATCTCAGCAAGAGCCCAAGAGACTCACCTGTCCGGCTTCAGAGCACCCTCTCTCCTTTTTGGTCTGAAAAGTAAGAGAGGCAGACAGGCACAAGGAGGAGCAAGACGATCAGAAAAGCCAAGCCTCCTACTGTCTTACCCCAGATCCCAGGCCTATCCCAGTGCGAGTCTTGGCAATCCGGTCCCCACTGCGGTGTGCCGCCAATGCCCGGCGCCGCCCGCCGCCCCCCTGTCCCTGGAGCCTGGTCTCTGTGAGCTCAGAAGTGGGGGTCTGGCTGGCACCTGCATTCACACTGGCTGTGTTCTTCCAGGGACATCTCGCCCAGCTGACTGCTCGGGTAACGGATCATGAGGATCTGTATTCCAGAGTTGGAGGAGAGACAGTGTGAGAGACAATGAGAGAGAGAGAGAAAGAGAGAGAGGGGGGGGCGGGGGGGTGGGGGGTGGAATCTCCATGGGCTGGAGGGAGAACCGCTCGCCCACCAGCCAAGGCTCTGGCCACTGCCCCCACGCCCCAAGCCCCACCGCCCCCAGAGCCCCAGCGTCCGTGCCAGCTGGGCACACCCCACCTGCCCCGGCACCTGCATTCGGACTTGGTGCTGCCCGGTGGGCACGCACTCCAGGCCGTCGTCAGGGCAGCAGCCCCCGCAGCGCTGCACCGTCACGCAGCTGGGCACCAGTTGCTTGGCCACGGTGCCCATGAGCTCCACAGTCAGGGGCACCACCACCTCCCGGGGCTGGCAGGTGGCACGGGTATACACATCTATCCATGACACCACTGGGGGCAGATGCACAAGGGTTAAGTCCCCCCTGGGTTTCCTGCCACTCCTCCCTGGTTCCCCTGTCCCCCGAAGCTGTTCTCCCTAATTCCTGTGTTGCAGCCACCCCCAACTGGCCATCTCTCTGCCCTCACAACCGGCCTTCCCCTGCCGAGGAACCCAGGAACCCTACTGCCTCGATTTCCTCTTCTGCGAAATGGGCAGAATAAGAGCTCGAGTCTTGGCGAGTGGCTGGGTTTACACAAGATGACGGACAAACCTCGTCAGTGTTGGTTAGCGCAGTTATTGTTACTATTACCTTTCTTCTGGTGGCCGAGGGCATCAGGCTGGGACACAGGGCCCTGTAGGAGAGAAGGGACCTGGACCCAAGGTGCATTCAAGGAAGGGCTTGCCCTGTCGCTGTCCCCGGGGCTCTGCACTGGCCGTCCAAAGGCTTCAACTCCTCTACGACATTTTTCCAGATTGCTCGGCTCCTGGGGTCACTCTAGTTTTACCTGTTCTCTCCTGGCCACCTGAGACCTGCCCCAGCCACGACAGTGGCAGCGTTGGTGGCATCTAGTCTCCAAGCCTGGGGACCCGGCTGATTCGGACGCCGCAGGTCAGGAGGGGACACGGTGGGCACCGAACCAAGTCCTGCGGGCACCGAGCGGCTCCGCCCCCGGCCGAACCCAGGGGACGGGGTGGGGCAGGGGAGTGGCCCAGGGCTGGGCTGGCGGGCTCGCGGGCTGGCGGGCTGGCGGGCTGGCGGGGTGGGACTCCTCCCAGGGGATGCCCTGGCAGGATCCCCGCCACGCCCCGGTCCGCAGCCCGACCCCGCGGATCCCCGAGGCAGAGGCCGCTCCGCGACTCCCCACTTCCGCCAACCTTGAGAGAGGGCACGGCGGGCGGGCGGGATGTCGGGGACGCACGTACCTGGGCGGGGGCCAGCTGCAGGAGCGCGGCGAGCAGCAGGCGGCGGAGCAGGGGGCTCATGATGCCCGCGGGGGCCGCGCGCCGGGGGCGCCCGCATCGCTCTAGCCCGGTGGCGCGGGGGGCGGCGGCAGCCAGAGCCCCATGGCGCGGGCCCGGGCGCGGCGGGCGGGGGCCGGGCGCGGGGGGCGGCTCCTCCGCGGCCCCCTCCCGAGCCCTGAGCGCAGGCAGCGCAGCGCAGCGCAGCAGCGGCGGCCGGAGGAGCCGGGCGGGTGGGCGGCCGGTGGCGGCGGGTGGCGGCGGCGGGGACGGCGGGGGCGGCGGGGGGCCGGGCCCGGGCTGGCGGGCGGGCGGCTCATGTGACCCAGACACGCGCTCCCCACCGGGCCGCGGGGCGGGGGAGGGGCGGGGGAAGGGGCGGCGAGGCCGTCGCCGGGGCCCGCCCCCTACACACACAGACACACATACACACACACACACACACAACCACACCAAGCGCGCGCGCACACACACACCACACAGACCACACCGCGCGCACACACCACACCACACCGCGCGCACACACACACCCCACACACACACCACACCACACCGCGCGCGCACACACACACCACACCACACGCACCACACCACACACACACACACCACACACACACCTAACACACACCCCCAGACACACACACACCCCACACACACACCACACCACGCGCACACACACCACACACCACACACACACACACACACACCCCACACACGCGCCACACACACCACACACACACATGCCACACACACACACACACACACACACACACACACACACACACGAAAGGGGACGCACCGCCCAGGGGGCCGGGCTCCCGGGTCGCCGCCGCCAGGACCCGGAGGGCGGGGTGCCGTCTCCCCGCGAGGCCCGGGAGGGGGCGGCTGGCCCTGAAGCAAGGAGCCGGACACAAGCTCTGACAAGCACTTTATTGCACTAGTTTTGGGGAGTGAGAAGTCCCGCGGGGTAGCCCCCATCCAAGTGAGCGGCTCAGGGGTGGGTGCCCGTGTCCGGCGGCGGCACGACCCCCGGGCCTCCCGGGGGTGACTGCAGCTGCTGCCTCTGCAGTTTCTCCTGGAGCCTGGCTCTGTTGGCCCTGCAGGAGAGAGCACCTGGGTGGTCAGAACGGAGGATCCCGGAGGGTGGTGCCAGGACACTGAAGGGAGGGCAGAACGGAGCAGGGACACACCTGGCCCGGGCCCGTGTGTCATTGTAGATGGCTGTGATGATCCGATCCTTTTCATCCATGAAGGTCCGGTGCATCTGCTCCAGCTTCCTGCAACGGGGTTGCAATTAACCCCCATCCCTGCGGTCCCCCACATTCATCCCATGCCATCCATGCCACTCTAGGGTCTCACAGCTTTACATCTGTGAGGACCTCTGCCTAACTGCCTGTCCTACATGGGGAGAGGGGCACAGAAGGGCTGGGGCTTATCCAGGGTCCACTGGTGACCCAGGTCCCTGGCTGTCCTGTTGAAGGTGGTGACAGCAGCTCTGAACATCAGGGTGTTCGTCCTGGCAGGAGACTAGAAAGGGTATACATCTAACTCCATCACTGAGCTAGGCAAACTGCTAGCTGTGGGCACCAGCCCTTAGGTATCTTTGCTGTAGAACCTCAGTATCCACGGCATGCATAAAAGGGTGGCAGGGAGACAGATGATTGCCCAACAAGTGAGGATGGTTGCCAGTGAGGCCCAGTTACAACATATTTCTTTCTTGTGCATGATCTTGGTTGGCTCCAGCACCAAAGATTTACATTCAAATGCCAAAAAACCTGAAAATGACATTAGCCTTTAGTGAGTGCAGAGCTGCCTTGGCCAAGTAAGATGACGCTCAGGAGGCCAGTTTCATGCCATTCTTAGCTTGAGAGACACAAAAGTACAGGCCCCAGAGGTGGTGTGGATGTAAGCCGCCCACACTGGGCTTCCCGCACCCTCCGCCCGTCACCCCAGGGGGGAAGGCAGGGATGCACCTGAAGGCCACGTAGTGCAGGCCCATGCCCGCCAACATGATCAGGAGGCAGTACCCCAGCACCTGCTGGTTGTGTCTGTGTTGCTGCTGCCTCGACTCCGGTCCCTGAGGCCTCACACCATGAAACTGGGCCCAGTACTGTGCACTGGGGGGTTCCCAGCAGCTGCTGGGAGGGGAGGAGAAAGGAAGAGGGGGGGATGAAGCTCCCCAGGAGCCTTGGGGGGTGGGGCAAGCCAGGGGCAGGATGGCTATACCTGTATGCTTGATGAGCAGACCGCGGATGGGCTGTGGTTCCCGGAGACTTCGGAGGAGTTGCTGAGCAGAGCCGATCATAGCTGCGGCGGCTGGGCTCTCGGCTGAGCACTCGGTATGCTTCACTCAGCTCCACAAAGCGGCTGTGCAGGGCCGGATTCCCAGGGTCCCGGTCAGGGTGCAGCTGGGGTGGGGCAGGACTCCCTTCAGCTCTTTTTGCATGTCCCTTCACAGAACCCATCCCAATAACAACCACCCACAAAGGCTCAAGTCATTCCCGGAGGCCCTGCCTGGACAGTACCCTTCCTCTCAGGGCTGCCCACCCCTCTAGAAGGCCAGAGTGTCAGGAAGCACAGACTTCTGCCCCCTCCCCACCTGCTGCCTGGCTCTCACTATATGCCCTGGTCCAGGCTTTCTCAAGAGCAGGCAGGTCAAAAGAACAACGTCCAGCCCATCACACAGAACCCCTGGCTCCTGCCGCCAACCTTTCCTCCCAACTAGCCAGACCTCTGCCCTTGGGGCACCTCCCACTCTCTACATGCTGAGGGAATGTGACATCATCCAGAGTGACCCACTCAACTCCACTCCTGGAAATCTGAAATGTACCCTATCTGAATCAGACTGACCCCTCCCCCCCCCAATCTAGGACGCCTGGTACCTCTTTGGACTTGGAGAAGAAAGCTCGTTTAACTTCTTCAGTGCTGGCACCAGGATGCACCCCTAACAGTTCATAGTAGTTCCTGGGGCCAGACCTGTGGAGATAGGCCAGAAACTGCAGGGGCTATGGAAACACAGAGGATATTCCTCCCCTCCCCTCCCAGCCCCCCTGGACCACACTCCTCAACTCAGAAACCAGGAGGGAAAGCAAAGAAAGAAAAGAAAAGGAGAAAGGAAGGGAAGGGAAGGGAAGGGAAGGGAAGGGAAGGGAAGGGAAGGGAGGGAGGGAGGAAGGGAGGAAGGAAGGAAGGAAGGAAGGAAGGAAGGAAGGAAGGAAGGAAGGAAGGAAGGAAGGGAAGGGAAGGGAAGAAGGGAAGGGAAGGGAAGGGAAGGGAGGGAGGGAGGGAGGGAGGAAGGAAGGAAGAAAAAGAGAAAGAAAAAAAGAAAAAGAAACCAGGAGGTGAGGAAGCTGAGGCTGGTGCCAAGGGAGATCCATCTCCAAATCATCCCTCCCTTTTTGAGCATTTCAGATATGGTGCAGATCAGAACATCTCAACGTGTAGCCCTCAGACCCCTTGTGGCAGAAACACCCAGGAAGCTTGTTTAAAAAAAAAAACAAAAACAGATTTCTGAGCCCCAGTTCATTCCTGCAGATCGGAATCTCCAGAACAAGGCCCAGGAATTTGCATTTTTGTAAGCCACCCCCCCCCCAGCCCCACCCCTCCAGTGAGTTGCGCAGTGATGCTTGACGACCACCACAGTCGTGAAAAGAACAGAGTTTGGCTCGGGCTCAGATTCCACTTTTGCCACTTAACTCGCTGTATGATCTTGGGGGTCGTCCCTTAATCTTTGATCTTGGGTCCTCAGTCGTGAAGGGGAGGGTTACCTGCAACAAGCCTGTAAGGCACTTGACACAGAGTAGACAGATCACAACTGTCGTACCTAGGTCCAGGCCTGGAGCTAGGCAGGCCCTCCTCAACGAAAACCCACTGAATGATGGGGGGCCTGCCCCCGGCCCCCGACTCACCGCTGCCCGGTGGCCGCTGAGAAGAGCCGGATGGGAGCGCTGCGGGGCCACAACCGGCACAGGCACAGGGACAGCATGGCGACAGGCAGGCGGCTGGTGAAAGGAGGCCACAAAGAGTTGTGCATTGGGACGAGGATGGGACCACACTTCAAGCACCCCGGGGCCAAAGGGAAGGGTCTGGCCCTGTTTACTTGCGAAGGGAAACTGAAGCAGCCTTGGGGAAGCCAGGGGCGGTGGGGCCTCCTTTACTCAGGACCAGACCCCAGTGTCCTGGACCTGTCCCTGCCTCTGACGCGGGCGTCCGGAACCCTTCCCCACACTGGTCTCGGTGTCCGGGGACAAGCAGTCCCAGACGCCGGGACGCCGGGACCCCCTACCCACCCTGGGAGCTTGGTGGGGGGGGGGTGAAGGAGGGGCCAGCCAAGCCCCGCCTCCGCTGCGCTCACAGATTCCGTGGCCGCCAAACTCCTGTGCCTGTGCGGGCCCCGCCCCCACGCCCTCATTGGCTTAGACGCCCAGGCCACGCCCACCGAACCGGAAGGTCCGGAAGTGCGTCGAAGGCCACACCCCGCACACCCATTGGCTTCTGGCGCCTCGGGCCCCCCAACGAGGTCGAGGCCCGCGGATCTGCGGAAAGACTCCTGGCGCCCGTCCGCGAAGCGGGAGGGACATTGCCTGCCCTCACTGAGGCTTTTGACCCAGCTTCCGTCGCTCTGTCCCGGGAACACGGCTGTTACTCAGCAGCGAGACATCTTTCATAAAGCAGCTTCCACCCCGGACCCTCACCACATCCTGGCAAGGCGACTGGGTCATCCCAGTTTGCAGAGGGGAAAACTGAGGCTGGGTTTTTGTTGTTGTTGTTTCCCAAGACACTCGTCCTGTCTCTCACCCACCCAGGTCTCTCCCAACGGTCCATCTCTGCCTCACGGAAACAGCAGATGCCAATGGAATCCAAGAATAAAGTCCTTTATTGTCTTCCAAGTTGTGCGAGGGCTGAGGGCCCTAGGGCGACTCAGGTGGGACTTCCCTGGACTTGGTTGTAGAGGAAGATAGCGCCTTTAGCCGAGGGGCAGAGCTCAACCCACATTTCGGTCTCCTGCAACCTCCATACCCTCTGTGGGGAGAAAGTAAGACCCCCAACATTCAGCCCTCAGGTCTCTTGCGGGAGCTGTACCCAGTGTTCCTGAGCCTCAGAACCCTCTGCACTTTACCATCCCTAGGGAGACACGTTAAGGAGGCTGAAGAGGTTCCTGGCCATCTCTTGGACCGAGGGCATCCCCAAAGAGACCTTGTGGTTCTGGAGGAGACCTCTAAGAGATTTAGCAGCCCCATCTGACCCAGCCCCAGGGAGACAGACATGCATCACCCGGCCTAGGCAAAGCCCAACACCAGCTTCTTGTCCAAGCAAGACACACTTTGCCAGTTCACACCTGTGTCTCCACAAAAATGATTCTGGTAGACTCGTGGGCCTCGGCTCCCCCACTCAAGTAGTACTTCTTCACCTGCTCGGAAGTCAGGCTGCACCTGCAAAAGGACAGGACAGTGGCTTGGGGAGTGCTCAGTCCCTGGAGGGTCCTTGGGGAACCCCAGCTGCCTCAGCCATTCCCCTAATCCACCCACCTATCCCAGGACGCAGGACCCTGTACCCCAGAGCTCACTCACTGGACGTAGAACTCGGCACTGGCGCGGCCGGCACTGGTCTCATTGCGGGCAATGCCCAATAGCAGTGGCTGGCTCAGGGTGGACAGTGGCACGTTCACCTGGGACAGGAGGTCCACCTGTCAGTGCCCACTGCCCACATCCCTGCCCCTCTTATTGAAGAACATTATCCTTGTACAGCATTTTACGGTTTGTAGTTCAAGTGCCCAGAGTCACAAAATGTCAGATCTTGGGCATGTTCATATTACAGATGGGAAAGCAGAACCCGAGAGACCGAACAATTTGCCCAGGGTCACCCAACAGAAGTCTGTAGTAACTGGGACTCTCATTTACTCCTCTTTTCAACACACGGGGGAGGGCAGGGAAGTAGGCAAGACATTTATCATTGTTTCTTTTTTTTTTTTCTTAGTTTTTAAAAAAAATTTTTAAGGTTTTATTTGAGAGAGAGAGAGCACAAGTGTGGGGGAGGGACAGAGGGAGAAGCAGACTCCCTGATGAGCAGGGAGCCCAACACAGGGCTTGATCCCAGGACCCTAAGATCATGACCTGAGCTGAAGGCAGATGCTTAGCCAACTGAGCCACCCAAGTGCCCCTATTGTTCCTATTTTAAAGAGGAAGAGCTTGAGGCACACAGATACAGGGCTAGAATTCCACTCCACTTGTGCCTGACTGCAAATCCAAGCTCTTCTCCCAATGCCAGATGCCTGCAGACTCTCCTGCCAGCCCACACCTGGGGAATTCTGGCATGTTCTACCCCTCCCTTCTTGCCCACCTGTCTGGGGCACCCTGCACTTACCTCATCACAGATCTCCTGGAGGACACTGGAGAAGAGCTCATGCACCACCAGCTCCCCAGGGAGGTCCTTGTGCAGAGGGCTGTCACCAGGGCACACGGCCTGGGAGAGGTCAGGCTCAGCCCCTGTTCCCCATCTCTTCCCACCCTGCCTCCCCCCCCAATTATTTGCTGGCCCTGAGGGCCTGGTTAGGCATAGAGTAAGAGTCTTGGTGATCCCCTGACCCAGGCTCGCCATTTCTAGATGGACAACCAGAGATCCAGCTAGTCCTCTCTTCCCCACTCCCCCAGCCCCCATCATCCCCTAGCTTCCCACAGGCCTGAAACAGCGGATAATGGGGAGGCTGAGGTGCTGCCCTGGGCAGTCTTTCGGAGAAGCACCCGGTCACCACCCATCCCCCCCCTTTAAGGGATGAGGAAAACAAAGCTGAGCTGAGTCTTTGTGTCTTTGTACCCAGTCTGGCATCTCACCTGAGGCTCAGGGTGCCCACCAGGCACATCCACCAGCCCAGGTGCCTCGGCCACCTGCCGAGAGCGACGCAGGAAGACAAGGAAGTTATCTGCAGTCGTCAGTGTGGCGCCAACCCCCAGAGGGTCTGCCAGGTAGGCTTGCCTGTCACCCCAGTCAGCGGCCCCCTGCTGTCGCAGCCAGGAAGCTGAGCTGGCCCAGTTAGTGCCTAGGAAGTCTCGGTAGGAAGTCAGGCCCAGGCGCAGGAGCAGTTGTGGTCCCTGTGAGCCAGTGGGTGCCAAGATGGCTGAGTGCAGGCGGAACTTGGGGGCGTCAAAGAGCCAGGGCTGAGCCTGTAGCCGGCTCTCCCAGATGGCAGCGACGGCCTCGTCCCCTCCTGGCAGTGGGCGACGGTCGTGGTCTGGGCTCAGCTCAGCCCGCACCTGCTCCTCCCGAAGCCCCCCTGGGGGGCACTGCAGCAGCAAGGACACTTCAGGGTCCATGATCTGGACAGGGCAGCTCTGGGGGAGGACACAGCCAGGCCTGTCACCTCGAGAGCTCCACAGCGACCCTTGGGCCCAGCAGCTGGCCCCCTCTGCCACAGACCTCCTTAGGGTACCCCCAGCCCTTCTGCACCCCCATGACCACTCCCTGGGCAATAGAGTGTCTTAGCCCCGAGAGTCCGGCTGCCAGACATCCCTGGGACTCCCGCGCATCTCTACCACCCAGGGGTCCTGAGTCCAGTCACCCCCTTTATGCCCATTTCTCCCAAACCAGGGTCCTGCCACCCACCCCTGGGGCGCCGGGAGCCCTTGCAGGATCCGGAAGCTCAAGCCTCCAGCTGGCAGTCACCCGACTACGCGGCCCGCAGGCTCCGCCCCTTTCCCCGAAGCGGAAGTGCCCGTCCCCTTCTGCCCCGGCTTCTCATTGGCCGGTCCCTGCGCCTCGGCCCGCGGGGTCGCCTGAGAGGCCGCCGAGTCCGGGAGCCCGCCATCGCAGTTTCCCGCCTCCTAACTCTGTCTGTCTTGGCCGGTCCTGACGCTTCCGCCCCATTAACCTGAACGCCCGGGCCGCCTCCTGAGGCCCACTTTGCGGGGCAGCCCCGCGAGCCTGCAGCGCTGGGGCTCGGCGGACAGGGTGTGACCTTGGGCAAATCTTGCTTGCTGGCCTCAGTTTCCCTATCTGTACCAGGGAGTTGGGGGCGGGAAGTGAATTTAATGAGCAGAATATCCGCCTCCCAGCTCTCACATCCTGAGGCTTTGTGACAATGCTGGGCAGGACCGGGGCATGAGAGGGTCCTTAACCGTCCCCACATACACTGTTCCTCGCAGGTCTTAGCCATGAACTCCCCTGGAGGAAGGAGGCAGGAAACCACAGGACCCAGGGGTAGAAGGGCTCACAGACCCCGGGAACAGGTGCGCCCACCCCACCCTCACCCCCACTTTCTTGGTGGGAGGGTAGAGGAGGACGACTTGATGCCCTGGCTCCCTGGAATATGCTGGTGGGGTGGGAGTGGCCCCGGGGCCACCTCTGGGCTCTTACAGGACCGAGATGTGCAGCTGTCCAAGGCTCTGTCCTATGCCCTGCGGCACGGGGCCCTGAAGCTGGGGCTTCCCATGAGGGCTGGTAAGTGAGAATCTTGAAGACCGAGGTGAGTGGTTGGCGGCGAGGGAGCAGTGTGAGCTTGTCCGTGCTGCCCTACCCCATGGCCCCATGGGGCCGGCACAGAGGGCCCATCTCCTCCATGTGCAGGGAGCACTGAGGCCCAGAGCCCAGTATCCTGTCTGGAGCAAACTGGGAGGCCAGGCCTGGCCATACCCCCGGTGCAGTGGCCCAGTAGACACTCACCCATAGTGGGTACTGGGGGCTGTTGAGGTAACTGGTGTTTACTGAGTATCCATTCTGGGCAGGGCACTATGCTAAAAACGGGACACTTTATCTTTGTGACCCTCCCCGAGGCAGATCCTAGTCCCATGTAAGTTGAGGAAACGGAGGCCCAGAAAGGGGAGACTCTTACAGATAAACCCCTGTGACCCCTGCCACGTGCCCAGGCTCTGTTCTGGTTGCCTGTGGCTCCCGCTGTTAACTCTGGCCCAGGCCAGAACCAGTTCAGCTCCTGAGCATCCTGCCTGCCCGCAGATGGCTTCGTGCCCCTCGGTGCCCTCCTGCAGCTGCCCCAGTTCCACAGCTTCTCGGCTGAAGACGTGCAGCGCGTGGTGGACACCAACGGGAAGCAGCGGTTTGCCCTGCAGCCAGGGGAGCCGGGCACTGGCCTTCTCATCCGGGCCAATCAGGGTCACTCCCTGCAGGTGGGCGCTAAGGGGACCAGTGGGAAAGCCAGGTGGGACCCCTGCCCACGAGGGGGTCTCACTGCTGTCCATGCCGCCTCCCCCCCCCACCATCCCAGGTACCTGAGTTGGAGCTGATGCCCCTGGAGACCCCAGAGGCCTTTCCCCTGAGGCTTGTCCATGGCACATTCTGGCAGCACTGGCCATCCATCCTGCTCAAGGGCCTGTCCTGCCGGGGAAGGACCCATATCCACCTGGCCCCGGGACTGCCTGGAGACCCTGGTGTCATCAGTGGTCAGTGGCCCTCCCCAGCTGTCCTTACCAGGTCCCTCTGCAAGGATCATAGCTTCTCTTGTCCAAGGCCACTCCATGCTCTGCATGCTATAGTAACCCCATCTCCGCCCCTGAGCCCAGGACCTCCCACTGAGCCTGCCCAGGTTTGATGACTGTCTCCCAAGTGCCCCAGGCCCCAGCTCCAATTGTCTCCACAGGCATGCGGCCAAATTGCGAAGTGGCTGTGTTCATTGACGGGCCCCGGGCCCTGGCAGGTAAGCCTGGACACAGCGGGGACTGCCCTAGGGCTTCAGAGAGGGCAGGAGACCCAAATCTGGCTTTGTCTGCAGATGGAATCCCCTTCTTCCGCTCTGCCAATGGAGTGATCCTGACTCCAGGGAATGCTGATGGCTTCCTGCTTCCCAAGTACTTCAAGGAGGCTCTGCAGCTACGCCCTACCCGTGAGAACCACCACCCTCCTCCTCTTCGTGGTGCCTGTTGCCTGTGCCCTCTGCCCTCTCTTCCCTCCCAGCTCCTAGCCCCAGGCTGACTTCTGTCTCCCTTTCCCTAACCTCTTGTCTCTATCTCAGGAAAGTCCCTCTCCTTGGCTGGTAATGAAGAGGAGACGGAGTGTCAGAGTGACCCCAAGCACAGCCCCAGAGGAAGGATGATCCAACAATAAAATATTTATTTAAAAAAATGTGAAAAGCTAACAAAAAAGAAGCTCCAGTTTGAAACCATGAATTATCATCATCCCGTAGCTACAGCCATTGGTCCTCGTGTGCTCAGGAACTCAAGCTGGGTCAGCGGTGTTGGTCCTGGCCACTCGGACAAGGGAAGGGCAGGCATTGTACGAGCTCATAACCCGCCCTCCCTAGCCTGGGGGATGGCAGAGTCTGGCCCGGTTAGGTCCCTGGTCTGCACAAAGCCAGGGACAGCAGGTGAATGTGCCCAGCTCGGTGCATGTCTGGAGGGGGTGTGGGCTTGGGCGTGGCCACAGCAGGTAGTGAGCAAAGTTGGGGCGCTAAGACGGGCCTCAGAAGGCCTCATGGCCACCTGTGAGCTGCAGGAAGAGATCTTCGTCCAGCTCTTCCCCACGGGCCCGCTCCCGCGTCGACAGGAAAATGTAGCCCCCGATGTACTCGTGCACGATGCGGCAGCTGGCCGACAGGCAGCTGAAAGCCACGTTGATGTGCTCATCAAACTCGATGGCGACCTGCAGAGCGGGCAGTCGGAGGTGCTGGTGGGGGAGGGGGAGGAGAGCAGCCCCCGTCCTGCCCTGGCTGGGCCTGGCCGGGGTCCCCCGGAGCCTGCCCCCGCCCTGGCCCTTACCCTTGGCCCACCTGCCGGATGTCCCAGTTGACATTCCACTGGCGCATGTTGCTGAAGCGCCAGGTCTTGACCATGTCGCCCACGGCCAAGTCGATGCGGATCAGTCTGTTGTTGGCGATGCCCAGGATCTCATCCTTCCTGCTGCCCTTGAACCTAGTCCCCAGGGCAGGAGAGACTGTGAGCCAGAGCCCTGCCCTGCACGGCCCCAGAGCCCACCCGGAGAGCCTGGGGTAGGAGTCCCCGAGCAAGCTGTGCAGGTGTCAGCTAGTGTCTCTGGGCCTCAAGTTCCTCATCTGGAAAATGAGGGTTAACTGCTAAAATCATTATAATAGCACTTGGCAGCCTCAGGCAAAGTGTCCGTGCCTTTCAATGACAACTTTTTTTTTGGTAGCGTCGTCACTGTTGCCTGGCTCTATCTTTGCAGGCTTGGGAACGGGCAGAGGGCAGCCCTTGTCACAGCCGCGAACGGCGGTCTCCAGCGGGACGGGTCCGCTGCCCTCCTGGCCTGATCCCTCGCTCTGGTGTTTGCTGCAGGGGCGCAGGATGGCGGGAAGGGGGGCTTCAGGGTGCCACAGCAGGCAGCCGGTGAGGGCAGAGCGGGCTGGGGCGGGGCGCGTACCTGACCACCACATAGGAGATGCCGAAGTCGGGCAGGGACTGCCAGGCCTGGATGAAGCGCAGCTGGGCTTCGGACAGCGAAAGTTGGGCCACGTTCTGGTGGGCTTCCAGGATCCGTGGGGTGAGCTGCGGGACCACACCCGGTGAGGGGCCCTCAAAGCCCGAGTCCCCCTGCCCGTTCCCACCAGGGAGACAGGATGCTGAGCCTGGAGCAGGGGTGGGGCCCAGCGTGGGGCCGTGGCCTGCACCCTCTCACCACTCCGCAGGTAGAAGCTGAGCCAGGCCCTGAAGTGGAAGCCGGCAGTGACCTCTCCCAGAGGGTGGGAACCGGCGTGCTCAGTCTCAAGGACATGGGTAGGAGAAGGAGAAGGAATGAGTGAGCACGTGGCTTTCTAAAGGAAGGCTCTGTGGTGATCCAGGGGCCAAGGGTGGCCGGGTAAATGCTGTGGTCCTACCCACCACCCGCACCTGCTTGGCCTTGAACTTTCGCTGGAAGCGGGGGGCAACAAGGCCGTAGGGGTTGAGGCCCTCGGCAGAGGCGTCAGGGCCCTGGGGGTGGTTGCCTGAGCCCCCGCCCCCTGTCCGCTGCAGGCTGAGGAAGGCCAGAATGGCCTGCACTTCGCTGGTATAGCTGCTGTCTGCCATGGTGCGGCCCTTAGACGCCAGTCGGCAGCCAGCCATCCAGTGGGCGTACTGCTTCTCCTGAGGGGTGAGGAACAGGCTCTGGTTCAGCCCCCAGCCCCCCTGTCCCGCTGCCCGCACCAGCCTTAGCCTGGCCCTGACTTACATCCTGGCACCGCAGGTAGATCTCACTCATGCCCTCAGGGGAGGGTACTAGGAGTTTGATGTAGAACTTCTGGCCTGCGACATTGACATCGGGGACCACCTCGCAGCCTAGAAGGAGATGAAGGGGTGGGTAGGAGGCTGGGAAGGGGAGGCCCTGCCTGAGAGGTCCCTGGGCCAATGCCAGCCCAGCACAATGCCTCGGCACACAGGGTATCTTCTCCTGCCCCCAGGGGGAAACTGAGGTGAGAGCTTGCCCCTCCCCAGCCCACAGAGGGGCTGGGTAGGCCCCCAGCCTGCTCCTGCCCTTGTCCCTGTCCTGGCCAGGCCACCCTCACTCACCCTTGAGGTTGAGCTGCTGAATGGGGTCCCCCGGGGCCTCATCCTGGCTCTTGTAGTAGGACAGGGTAGTCTCCTTGAACACCACCCAGTGCTGGCGGTACCCCTTTAGGGTTAGCTTCCGGGGCCTGAGGGTGAGGCGGGAGTTTTGTGACAGGCTGCCTCCCTCCCTCCTGGGCTCTCACTCCACACTGGGCACCTCCAGCGGGGCTGCCAACGCTGGGCCCAAACTCACCGGAAGATCCGGAGATGGTCCTTGAGTTCTGGGATGGTGGTGAGGTTGTCCTGCAGAGAAGAGGAGTCAGAGGGGGACCAGGTCCCCACACTTGACCCTGACCCCAACCCCAACCCCTAACCAGAGCCCCTCCTCACCAGCACATCTGTGGATGCCGACCCCTCCAGCTTCACCTCCAGGTTGTTCAGGGCTGCATCCAGGTCATCCAGCCCCGGGTCTGTGCCAGTTGGTTCGCCCACCTCCCCGCTCTGGGACAGCTTGTTGATGTGGTACTGGGTGGGGTATGTGGCCAGGGAGGGCTGAGTGGGCGGCTCAGTAGCCCACAGCACCCCAAGTGGGGCTTCCCCAAAGATGGGGCCCCACCTTGGAAGACCCTCCCCGCCCTGGGCTCAGCCTGTGCCATACCCACCCCCCCCGCCAGCTCCCCCAGCCCGCCGGACACCTGCAGGGCTGCGAACACCATCATCTCCTCCTCAGTGCAGTCGGTCTCCTCCAGCAGCAGGTCCCACCGAGCCTGCTCATACAGCTGGGTCAGCCGCACCGGGTCTGTCTGCAGCAGGGCAGGGGAGGCTGGGTTCAGTCGGGTGCCAACGGCCCTGAGCTCCCTGTGTTCCTGGACCCCGTGAGCCTCAGCCACCAGCCTTGCCTTTGTGCAGTGGCAAGCTCAGCTCGTGGCCCCACCTGGGCAGCAGACCTCAACGCCAGCCTTATGGCCTGCCCAAGTAAGTGACATCTTTTTCCCTGTAAGACTTTTTGTACAGATGTTGACTATATGTCTGCTGTGCACTTGGGGCAGAAGGGGGACTGAGTAAACCAATCAGTCAATAAGTAAGGTGATTCAAGACTGCGATAAAAGCAATAAATAAGAGGCACCTGGGTGGCTCAGTCTTTGGGTGTCTGCCTTCAGCTCAGGTCATGTCCCCAGGGTCCTGGGATCGAGCCCCATGTCGGGCTCCCGGCTCCGCGGGAAGCCTGCTTCTCCCTCTCCCACTCCCCCTGCTTGTGTTCCCTCTCTCACTGTGTCTCTGTCAAATAAATAAATCTTAAAAAAAAAAAGCAATCAAATAAAGGAAATAGCTTCCATGCGGCCATTCACTCACACCCTCAGGCAAGGACACCCCAAGGATGATGGCGATGAGAGAGAATGGAGCTGGGGTGCAGGGAGCTCCTCCACATAAGGAAGCATTCCAGGAAGTCTTCCTTGAGGAGGCAACAGACTGCCCTGAGTGAGACCTGAAGGATGGCAATGGGCCATTAAAGGGAAGAGCGATAGGAAGAACATTCCAGAGAGAAGGAACAGGAAGTGCGAAGCTCAAAGGGGGATCCCAGTTACCCACAGAAGACCAAACCCGTGCTCCCTCTGAAACCCACCAACATTGATAGCAAAGGCATAAAAAGGGTAAACACAAAAAGACAAAGAAGAGAGCAGGAACTATGGCCAGTGAGGGATGCTGACAACATTTTGGCAGATGGAAAGTAGAAATGTGAACGGGAACTGAGTTACAGCGAGAGAGCTAGGATCTCTTGCTCTTTCAAACTCTCTCTCGTTCTGAGGTAAAGGCATGAATGAGTTTTGCAAAGAGTCAGGAAAAAGGGGCGCCTGGGTGGCTCAGTCGTTAAGCTTCTGCCTTCGGTTTGGGTCATGGTCCCAGCGTCCTGGGATCGAGTCCCACATTGGGCTCCTTGCTCCGTGGGAAACCTGCTTCTCCCTCTCCCACTGCTTCCCTCTCTGCCTACTTGTGCTCTCTCTCTCTCTCTGTCAAATAAATAAATAAAATCTTGAAAGAAAGAAAGAAAAAGAAAGAAAGAGAGAAAGAGAGAAAGAGAGGAAGGAAGGAAGGGAGGAAGGGAGGGAGGGAGGGAGGGAGGGAGGAAGGAAGGAAGGAAGGAAGGAAGGAAGGAAGGAAGGAAGGAAGG